TATATACACACACATATATATTCCTAGGTGGTGCTTACCTCTTGTTCTGTGGGGGAGCTGGGCTATATTTGATTTTATCTGCCTGTTAGTTTGCTGAAGTTTCAGTGAAGTAGCAACCTTTCACTTGCTCTATGTGCCTGCTCAGAACTAGCTTGTACAAACCTGAACTTTACAGTTGTAAAGGTTTCTCTGACTACTGTTTCCCCCTTCACAGAAACAGTGCCCACCACTTCCCCCCCCAAATGGGGTATTCTTTCTTAAAATTGATTATATTCCTATTAATGCTGTAGAAACTGAGAAAGAGAACTACAGTTTTGAGTATATGGTGTGCCACTCATGAAGGGTTAAGCCTGAGGTTCAATAATAAATGCTACTCAGCTCTATAGCAGTCTTGTTAATGTCCTCAGGATAGCTGGTGCCTTTATATTTCATGAGGAACATGAAATGTTTCATGAGGTTTTGCCTTTGGATATTTTTACAGATTTACTGATTGCTGACATCCCTGTCAGAGAACTGGTTATGTCAAAATGGTGACATGACTAGTAAATGTCTTCTATTATTGATTTATTATTGAGTCTAGTTTTAAGATTGATATTATTTCACTGCCTTTGAGTCCCATGTTAATGATGGCAATTACTGTTGTTATGGGTCCTTCAAAATGATATGTAGAAAGTAGAAAGACTTTTTTCTTAGTCTCCCAATAACTGCTATTCTTGTGTGACTGTCATTAAATGTAAATGCTGTGGGTATCTAATCCAAAGGCATTCCCATGTAGGAGTCAGAATTGTAAATTAGCTCTGTAATTGCACTTTTGGGAGAGAAATTTATACAAACCTGTGCATGTATATTAAGAGTTCTGTTTAAAACCTCCGAATTAAGTACCTGCTTGTTTTCATTGTCTACATAGGAATAAAACTATTAGTTCCCTTCAAGGTATAGTTTGACATCCAACCCCAGCCCAGGTTCAAAAGGATGGTGATAAGCAGTACATTTCCCACACAGTTCCCAGTTATTCTTTTGGAAATAACAGCAGTCTGTCAACACTAACCATGATTTTCCTCTGCAGAAATGCCTTGTTGTTTATCTCTGCTGCCCTCTGAATTTCACAGGAGAATATAAGCTAATAAGCAGACATGCAGCATTATATCTTTCAGTTTTCTCTTGAATTTTTTGTATATAACTGTCTTTATCACCTTGCCAGTGGGGTGTGTAGTGGGGAAGTGAATGCAATGGAACTACCAACCAAAAATATCTCTGGGAATTCCCTAGCTGTCCAAGGATAGCTTCATAGACTGTTTGCATGTGTTTCCAGGCTGACTTAACCCAACCGTGTTGGAACTGGGGTTCTGGCATAACATCTCTGAAACAGTCTAGCTAGAAAGTGATTCTTTTACCTTACAGAAAAAGAGATTTCTTTATGCCTACTGAAGTACAGGGAGTCAGGAACAGAAAAATTTCAACGTTTCCTTCTCCCCTTCCCAGCTGTCAATGTAAGAAAAATACTCAGTATGTTTAACTCTTCTCAGTTCATACGCTGAAATGAAGAGGGGGAAAACCAAGAATTGTTTTTCATCAATTACAGCATTTCCCGTAATTGAATTCAAGTGTAGGGAGGATTAAAAATACTTCATATACACCTTGTGCTTTTCTGTTCACTCCCGATTTTGCTGAATTTCAGAATGTGGATTTATCAATGATGAAATATTTGTTGAGCTGGTCAATGCACTTGGTCAATATAGTGATGATGAAGATGATGATGATGGAGATGACAATCCTGATGAAAGAGATGACAAGCAAAAAGATCGGGAAGGTAACAGGATGGGTATGTCTGTCTGCAGACTTTACAAATTAAAACCAAAAACCACTTTTCTTTAATCACTGGATAAATTTATTCAAACCTTCTACTTGATAATTTTCAGGTCTAAAGTAGTACCATTTTCTTCATCATTCCCTTTGTCATTTAGTTCAAGAGTTGTACGGAGAATACTATGAAAGGTGCTTTTGCCAATTTTTGTTTATCTGCATATTGACACAGTCAAATGCACCAAAAATGAGTTGAGTATCCACCTAAGAAATGCTTTGGTACTCCTCAGAAAATGACATATCGTTATTCTAAAGTAGGCAGAGTTCTGAATTGCCATCTCCATCTGCTGGTGAAATAATGGTTTCTCCAAATTTTACTAGTGAAGAATTCTTTCATCAGGAAAGATCACTTAATGCAGTTTAACTCATGTGTCATTTAGAAATAAAAACCTTTTGCTTCTTTTTTTTTTTTTTATTAGGATTTTGGTGAAGTTCCCCTTTCTCTGAACACCTCCTAGAGGTAGCAAAGGAGCAGAAATATAATCTTTCTGTTTTCCAAATTTGTTTGCTTCTTTAACAGAGAAAGAAAGCCACCCACCTCGGAGATTTCCTTCTGACAAGATATTTGAAGCCATTTCCTCAATGTTTCCAGACAAGGGTACAGCAGAAGAATTAAAAGAGAAGTAAGAAAGTATTTCTTAAGATATGTTGCTGTGCTGCTTTATGAAACGAAGATTCCTTGACTTCATTAAATATTGGTCAATTTGTATTAAACTAACCAATATTTAATGGACTTCATTAAAAATCGGCTAACAGCTTTGTTGGTTAGGAATGGTCCCACTTGCAAGTAGGTTCTGTGGCCATTGTGTAACTTTGCAAGTGATACTTGAAGGGAATTGGCTGTTTCCAGCAAGTCAGACAACACAGAGGTGTTTCTTAGCCTTGCTTTCAAACTTTTGAAAAGTGGGTGCGTGTGTGTGTTTCATGATCTATATTTTTTTTTTGAAGTGGTAAATAAAAGCTTTTATTAAAAAAAAGAGAAAAGTCATCTTTTTGGAGTTAGTGAGTAACATATATGAGGAGATGATGGCCCAGAAAGTAAATGCGTTCTTTCCTAACAAATCTTGTATTTGTATTAATGAGTGTGGAATTAATAACTTGACATGTCACTGACAGATTGACCTTTCTAGCTGGGACATACTTCTTAAATTTCTTTTAATTTGCCACTGAAAATGCAGAGTGGCACTGGAATCAAAAATGACTTCTTTTTTATTATACTGAATAAATAACATCTATTTCTTTCTTTCAAGGTACAAAGAACTTACTGAGCAGCAGCTTCCTGGAGCTCTTCCTCCTGAATGCACACCAAACATAGATGGACCAAATGCTAAATCTGTTCAGAGGGAGCAAAGCCTGCACTCTTTTCACACCCTCTTCTGTAGACGCTGTTTTAAATACGATTGCTTCTTACACCGTAAGTACAGTTACAGTGCACTTGTATATCTCTTAATTTTTTCAGGTTGGGAAACTTAAAAGTACAATAAGACGCAATTCAGAAGGAAGGAAAGAAGGGAAAAATTGTAGCAATATCACTAAAGTTTATGAAAACAACTTTTTCATGTGGATGTAATTTTGCAGTGAAGACTAGACCTCAAAAAACTGAAAGCAGCTGTTTGGGGTGGTTTCTTGCTCTTTTTGCATATAGCCATTTGTATAGACTTCCTGGCTTGGACCAGCCTGTAACATTGCTTCTCTTATAGTCCTCAAGGAAAACTACATTATTTTCTACCATTTTCTCAGTTTGTGCATGGAGAATGGAATAAATTTCTCCATAAAAATACCTGGTTATTCATCAGACTTGTTTAATTTTCCAGCAGGGATAATGAATAGCCATGAACAGTTTTATGTTTTATTCTCTCGGGTTATTTTTTAGCCACTTTACTTGTACTGGTGATTTGAAGAAGAATCGTTTCAGACAGTTGAATTTAGAAATTATGATATCATTTCCATTGAATTACTTTTGTGTTGTCCCATTCTTCTGGGGGAAGGATTTAACAAGAGGGTTAGCAATGAGGTTAAGATTTGTGAAGTATAAAGAATAAAAGAACTTCTGAAGTGCTACTTGAGACAATTCTTTCTCTGAGAATGGAGTCAAATGTAAAGGGGAATCTAACAGTTAAGTATGAAGTGGTTTGACTTGTAGTTGAATACTGTGATGCCCTCTATTCCAAGTTAATTTTCTCTTTTGACTGAACTGTTCATTTGCATGTTCCACTGTGAGTGTGCATGCGTGTTTGTTTGGACATCTTTGTGTGTTGTTAGGAGCTCCTCATCTAGTACACACGCAATCTGCCTGTATTTGTATTTCACACTGAAGACTGTCCGCAGTGCTGCTGGTTTTTGCTATCCTTTAGTTGCCTTTCAGTTTGAGGAGGAACCGGAATTGTTCTCAGCTGGTGGGGAGGAGGGAAGCTTTTCCTGTTCCTAGTTTCTTTAGTATTTGTGGATTTTGGGGTTAGGTTTGTTAGTTTCACTTTCTCCTTGCAAGGCAGGCCTTACTTGAAAATACAAAGAAAGATGCTTTTACTTCTGAATGATGTTTAAGAACAATAAGTTTCTGGAGGTATAGCTGCTGCCTTGGCCAGCCAGCTTCACCACAGCATCTTCTGTGAAGCTGTAGGTTTTGTTCAGAAGTACCTTAAGTTGCCTGGATGATTCATTCCAGGAAGTGCTCTGTGTAGTCTTGGCCTGTAGGACAGGGAAGTGAAGCTGTATGCTGCCTTCTGGCAAATCCATTCATCTGGCTTGACAGATGTTCTTGACACTCTCAATAGTCTGACAGGGTGACTGAATGCCAGTCTAGTTTGACTACTTTAAAAAGATGTTGCTTTTAAGTCCACAAGAAAGCATGGTCTGGACATAGTGAGAACAAACTTCTAGTAGCACCCTGGAAGATTTCAGGTACTGCTGCAGTGGTGGGTTTAGGCCATTTTTCTCACTAGTTTTATAAACTTATATGAGTCTTGCAGTGAAGATATGGGCTCCTCTAAAATACGCATATATTTGATTACTTCCATAGTTTATGTAGATTTGCCTTTTATAGTCATTTTTGCAGATTGTTGGAAGTAGAACTGAAAGTGTCCACAGACCACATTTTCATGCCTACTACTCTGTGGAGCCTGGTACTACAGATTTGAGTCCACAGTTTCGAGACCCCCAACTCTGAGATGACTTCTTTTTTGTTGTTCATTCTGGTATGTTCTTAAGTGCCAGATTCAGCCAATGGCTAAGTCCAGAGTCATGTTGATGATCTGTTGAAGGACCTCAGTTCTCTCACTAACAGCATCCTTTCAGTTCTGTGTTCATAACCTTCAGGTTGAAGACAAAGTGTTTATGCTAAAAGACTGCCTAAGTTCTTGTTGCTGGTGCTTTCTTGATAAGTCCCTTAAACAAGTCAGGATTCTTTCCAAGGTGGTACGTGTCCAAGGCTTCATTTCAAACCATGATTCGTACTTAAAAAGGCCTAAACCTTAAGATATCTCTTCAGGTTTTCAGGGTCATAGCAGAAAGAAGGAAGAATTAACACTTCCCCTGTGGAAGCATTCAAGGTGTATCTTTGTGTCAGAGCGTGAAACTACTGGTTATGATAATGCTCTTCATGACAGATTATGCAGCACTTGCATTGTCATTGATAAAAATATATTTGATACTTGATCATTGCAAAGAGATGTCTTGAAGCTTGATTTACACATTCACTATGTAGCCTCCAGCCTGGGCACTGAATGTAGAAAACCGATGCTTCAGTCACCATTCCCTGGAGACATACCCAAATCCCACCACTACAATGCCTGGTCACTGCTTTGGACTCATTGCTTCCTTCTGCTTTTTGTTTTTGTAACAACAAAGGAAGAGGATTGTTTCCTGTCTTTGTGTGTCTGTCTGTCTGCGTGTCTGTCTAGAGCTACGGATCTTTCTGTCATAAACTAAGTGTCAGTTTTAAGACCTCTTTGCTTACTGTGAAATCTTAAGGCTGTTGATCAAATCTACCAGATGCTTTGGTGGGAATAAGTAATTCATCAAAAAAAGCCTGCTCTGGTGATTGGAAGGCTGCATCAGCAGTTTTCAGGATCTCTGCAACAACTTAAAAATTTAGCTTCTTTAAAAAGTTTATAACATTTCTACTAGCACCCTAATCAGTTGTTCCTATATTCTACTTCATCCAGTCACCAAGAGCTAAAGGGTGATGTTCTGGCTTCTGCAGATGCTCTTTTTGATGAATTATTTTGGAAAGGTGGTGGGCTGTAGTGATCAGATTTGTGCTTTGAAAGTTGCAATTCTCTGGAGAAGGCAGAGAATTAAAAAAAACCCCAGGAATTCTATTAGGTCTAGGTTTGATTTTTGTAATTACCCCCTCTTAGATTCCATTTTCGTTATTAGCCTCATTTTATGGAGTTTCCAATCTTTGTTCTAGAGCATTTGGGTTGAATATTGGAAAAGTTATCATTAGACTTTTAACGTGTCAAGTCCCCTTGACAACCTGGCAATCCCTTTATGTGCAGGTGATGACATTACTGAAAAAGCTTGTGTACCGACTTCATTTGCTGGCAGCAAGGAATTATGCCTAAATGTCTGGACTAACAAAGAATTTAGAAGAAGGAAAAATATCAGGTAGGGAGAATTTCCCAAATAGCTTGACTGTGAAGCAAATGTACATTTCAGGCTAAACTCTTGCCTGTGTACTTTCACATTATGAAAAATATAAGAATTGAGCCCATTGGGAATGAGACAGGTAATAAATCTCGAAGACAGAAAACGTGCTTAGTGAAGCAGTTTTAGAATGACTTTCTTAAGGAAGTTATTGAAGAAATATGAAGTTTAGTTATTTAGGAAAGTCTGAAAAATAGTCTTTGATTTTAAAAAAAAAAAAAACAAACCAAACAAAACCACAACCAACCAAACCCAACAAAACCTACCAATATTTGCAAGATTCATAGTGCAGCTGTACAAAGAGTTTTATTCTTGTTCTGGGTCCTTTTGTTGTAACAAGCCTCCCAGAAAATACCTCACAACAGTGAGGTAGATTCTGACTATAGCCGTCAGCACTTAGACTATGTTGTTCTTTTTTGATATAGTGGAATACAAGATATGATTCTAATAGTAAGTGTCAGATATAGTGTATTTTTGAGGTCTTGCTGGTTTAAAAAGTCAAACATCGATTTGTTTCACCGTGTTACAAACTAAACATTTCTTCATTGTCTAAAGGAAAACAATTTTTTTAAAACACTCATTTTAGGACCTAGCACAAATGAACTCCTGAGACAAATGTTTGCATCTGCAAGTGACATGTGAAAAGAATAGTTTTGATTTCTGTACATTGCAGCAGTCTGATGTGGATCATGGCTTGCAAATCTCTTCCTGTTCTTTTACCTTGTTGCAAAATGATTTTCCTTGTGGTCGAAGAGAGTGTAAAGCCCTGAACAAATGAAATGCTATATTGTGCAGGTTTAAAGATGCAGTGTTGAAACATGTGGGTTTTTTTCCCCCTGCACGTTTGGGTGGAGGGGTTCCCATCATCTCATTTTTTCTTAAAAGCTGGAAAAAGGTGGAATATCTTTGCATTAAATTGCAAGCTTTCTTTGTTATTTAGCAATTTAGCATATTTTACCTACAAAATGTATGAGCATTTTGAAATGCATGAGGAGTGACATACCACATAAAAGCTGGGATGTGGGGGAAGAAAGAGTAGCAACAATATGCATAAATTATATTCCTATACTTGCAAATAATTTTTACATATCTATATGTCCATATATGGTAAATTAAAACAGATTTATAAATATCATGTATTTCTCTGGAGAAAGTGATGCAATATTGATTAGTGATACTTTTATATTGTTTATACCTTTTTAAGAAAGCCTTGGAAGAATACATTGCTTCCCTGAGGTTCCCATGTGCTGTCACTAATACAGGCATAATATTATAGAATTTATGATTTGATTTCCAGTATACCTTTTCTTATGGGAGGAGAGCATGAAGCGATGGTTCCAAGAGGGAGTGGCTTCCTTAGAGAAGCTCTCTTATGAAGTACTCACCACCATTGGTCACCCTCCCCACAGGTGCCAACAAGTGCTTGTGGAGCTATGTGCAAACCAGATCACTGCAATAAGATTTGCTTTATAAACTTTGCCTGGGAAAACATATGTGAGCTCTGCCCACCTTCTTTAAAAGGGAAGGAACTGCATTTGAGAAGTTCAGTCTTGAAAGCATAGTGGATTTACAAATGAAGCCTTATGTAGAATCCAGAAATAGCTGCGTAGGAAAGCCTATGGTGGTGGCTTATTGAAGGGGAAGGATGTGTGTCATATTGGTATGGAACAGCCCTTATGGATTAATATGTATAACGGGAGGGATTTCTTCTTTCGGTTTGAACGTTAGCACTTTTTATTCATTGAGTATTGAAAAACTGTGAGTTACAGTTGCCTAACTGCAACTGTGGTGAAACTGTAGTGTAAGTGTTTTTACAGTGCTGGGGAATCATGTGTTTTCAGATGGGTGTCTTTTATAGGTCCTTATGGAGCATTAGGCAACAGGCAGCTTGCACTGAGTAGTCTTTCTTATTTTATTAACTTCAGGATAGTCTGCCTTTTTGTTCCTTGCAGTTGTGCATGCCACTATTTAACACATGGTGGGGAGTATTTATTTACACACACATATGTGTATTTATATACATATATTTAATATATATATTAGAAAAAAAAGATAAATGCATGCCTTGAGCATGGAGGAATTCTTGTTAAAAAGAGAATTGCAGAAAACTAAGGGTAGTATTTCAAAAAGCTCCTGGTAAAATTTGGGTCTGTGGATATATGAGTTCTGGTGAGAGTCTAGCTGCAGGTTTTCCAGGCTTCAGTTAAGTAAATGATATAGGAGAGTTACCAAGACTTCCAGCAGCACTGGGAAAGTCAGTATCTGAAAACATACTGCTGGGAGGCAGAGATTTCATGGGGAGAGAGCTGGTAGAGATGAGCTCTGGCAAAGGGAATGGGAAGGAAACTCTCTTATCCTGTTACAAAGGTGCTCATGCTCAGTCCTGCTCTATTCCAAGTCACTGTTCTGCAATTAATACAGAGCTCTGTAGTCCCTCAGATACATGAGCAGACACTTCCATGCAAGTTGCAGGCGTAACTGTGGTTGTTCTGATCCACGGTGCCTGTGCAATGCTAACTTATTTTTACCCTGCAGCTGGGATATGGGAACTGAACTCTTACCACCTGTCAACTTATTTGGAATGCTGAGACACTAATAGAGTAAAACACTTATGTGTCCTTCTCTCTAACAGAAATGAAAAGTGGGTCTATTGCCTTTCCAGAGTGTGTGGGGTTGGATTTTTTGACAAGATAGAAATTGCACACCTGAATCTTACTGATCATGCATTAATATCATGAAAAATAATCATGCATTAATAGGGGAAGCCCTGAATAATTCTGTTTAACATGGTAATGGAAGTAAAGTCTGTTCTTTTGTTGGGAAAGGAGGCACAGCAAGTCTTCCTTGATACATGAAACAAATGTGATGATTGTCTTCACTGATGTTAAACAGGCATAAGCAAAATTAACCATGTGCTGTCTCTGTATTTAAGGGGTAAGTCAAATGTCACTAGATGGAGTTTTTTTATAGGGTTTTTTCCCATTTATTACGATTTTTATTCTATTTTTATGCTTTTTATTCTATTTTTGATACTGTTTGAGGTTAGATATTGAATGTATTTTCATATTAAAACTTAAAAATGTGATGTTTTGATTCAACAGCATTCCATGCAACTCCTAATACTTATAAACGAAAGAATACAGAAACAGCATTAGATAATAAACCTTGTGGACCGCACTGTTATCAACATCTGGTAAGATAATTTCATATATTAGAATTCACTAAGTGCTAGTGCTAGCAAGCTACACTTACTGTAAGGACATGCTGAATCTATGCTAGTACGTATGCTGTGGGTTTAAAGTGAAACAGGGGAAGTGCTGGTTAGATGTAAGGAAGAAGTTCTTCCCTGTAAGGGTGCTGAGGCGCTGGCACAGGTTGCCCAAAGAAGTGGTAAATGCCCCATCCCTGGCAGTGTTCTAGGCCAGGTTGGACAGAGCCTTGGGTGACATGGTCTAGCGTGAGGCATCCCTGCCCATGGCAGGGGGGTTGGAACTAAACGATCTGAAGGTCCTTTCCAACCCAAACCATTCTGTGATTCCATGATAATTCTTCTCCTGAAAATGATAACATTTTGTGTTTAGGAAGGTGCAAAGGAGTTTGCAGCTGCCTTGACCGCTGAGCGCATAAAGACACCACCGAAGCGCCCTGGTGGCCGCCGAAGGGGAAGACTTCCAAACAACACCAGCAGACCTAGTACGCCGACAATAAATGTGTTGGAATCAAAAGACACAGATAGTGATAGAGAAGCTGGAACTGAAACTGGAGGAGAAAACAATGATAAAGAAGAAGAAGAAAAGAAAGATGAAACATCTAGTTCCTCTGGTAAGGCTAGTCAAGGCTTCTTTATTCAGTTAGCTTGAGACAACTACAAAACAAGTTGAGCCAAGTGATCCTAGAAACCATGTATTTGGAATGTATGGATCTGGCTCAAAAGACAGTAATAACATGAGTTTAATCAAATAAAAACCTGTAAGAAAATTTCCAGATTGTCTCAATTTATGTATAGAGGTGAGATCGTGTAATTTCAGTAGCTACTGTTACCTAATTTTTAACCTCTTGAAGAAGCATGTGGAAAGTGCTGTTTTGTTGTGGCACTTAATTAGGAAATAGCAACAGAAACCCGGGATATATTTAAAGACAGTTAATTATTAGACGTTTTTAAGGGCTATGTAGAATTTTTGGAATATAGCCTTCCATTGAACCATAGTCTCAATTATTTATTACAGAAGCAAATTCTAGGTGTCAAACACCAATAAAGATGAAGCCAAATATTGAGCCTCCAGAGAATGTGGAATGGAGTGGTGCAGAAGCCTCAATGTTTAGAGTTCTTATTGGCACCTACTATGACAACTTCTGTGCAATTGCCAGATTGATTGGGACCAAAACATGCAGGCAGGTAAGAAAAGAAGCTACTTACTAAGGGTGCTAGCACCTTACTTTTAAAATTGAAGTACAGAAATACTAGCATTGATTACTAAAAGAGAAAATTAAATAATTTTCTTGGTTTTCCCAAGAATGCTATGATCCAGAATTCATGCCAGAAGTAGATAAGTTAGTTTTAAAACTGTTTTAAAATTAAATTTACAGGAAGCTTAAATTAGGCTGTCTGTTATTAAATGACAATCAGCTTTAAATGTATTGAAAAGAGACTATGACTGGATATAATCTGTAAGTTGTTGGTTGGAGAAAATCATACTAACTTAGAAAATGAGCAACTTTCTACTAGTGAGAGATTTATCGTGGATGTATTATGGTATCTCTTGTTAGGTGTATGAGTTTAGAGTAAAGGAATCTAGTATTATTGCTCCAGTCCCTGCTGAAGATGTTGATACTCCTCCCAGAAAGAAGAAAAGGAAACACAGGTAAATCTGTTACTAAATAACCTTAGCATAACAATAAATTTGAGATACAGGGGATCAGAACAGAAAGTATTTTGGAGGAAAAAGTCATGCAACTCTTCACCTTTTGCTTCTAAGACTGAAATTTGCAGCAATAGAACAAAGTGGTGTTTCTGTTTCAGACGAAAGTCTTACTGCATTGGCAAGTATAACCTTCCACTTCTCTTACCCTCTCCCTTCTTTTAACCTCTTTAACAGCCAGATTCTTGTAGGTGTATTGCTGCAAGTACTCAAACTAGGTTATATTAGAAATACTTTACACAGCTTGTTATAACATTCAAGATATTGTGGTATAATTTTGTTTGCTGCAATAAATCTTGAGTTTTAGAAGTGTTTAAATGGGATTCAATAATGATTATATGGTATTTTCTAAATTAAAGCTTATGGGGTTTTTTTTATGGTGAAGTGTCTTTCATTATGATTCAAATGGTCAGTAAGCAAAAATGTTTTAGCAAACTAGTAGGATTGCCTTTTTCTTTTAAGGGATACTATTCCTTTGTAGCACCCCAGTTCTGTAATCAACTAGAACTTTAAAGAACCAGGTTAACAAGTTATTTGAAGTGAAGCTGCAACAAAACCAAGCCTTTTACTAAAGCCACAAGACCATCTGGAACAATTTCTGTTGAAATTGTGAACTTGGTAGCTGCTGTCTGTCAATGAAAGGCATTTTTCCTTTAAGAATCCTGAGGTTTGAAAAATGCAACTCTGCATTGAGTAGTTTTATTCCCGGGGATAAGATCATAGGAGATAAAAAGCTGACTGAAAATTAGCAAGAACGTTTCTTTCTGCAAGCAGTAAGTACACTTTTTTCCCATAAAGTTTCCTATTTCTCCCTTTTAACTTCCCTTTTTTCCCCCAAGTTTGTTGTTCCAGTTCTTCTCCCAGTTCTTATCTCTTAGCTTGCCTAAGTATATTTATTATTTCCAGGCTTAGGGAAATCCCTGCTACTGGCTCAGAGATACTGTTGACGTGGAGTAGCATGTTTCTGCTTTGTAGCAGAGGCAGCTGATGCGAGTTAGGAAAAGATTCAGTGAGCATCTGGAAGAGATTCTGTTCACAGCAAAAGCTATTGATTTAATGCTCTTTGCACAGTTTTCAAGTTTATGGGCATTTGGTGGGCTTGGCTGTTTAAATCCGGAGTTAGCCACAGTGCAACTTTGGGTATTAGTTTGCTTTTAGATTGGCACAGCTTGCTATCAAAATGATGCCACTACCTCTATTTGAAAAGAGCAACTAAAAGGCTCAAATGTATTTTGAAGCTGAAATGGATTGTATGGTTACGAGGTTGACATTGTTTTGGAGGAGTTTTGAGACTTTTAGGGGGTATGTTGATTGGGCTTTTTTTTTTTTTTCCCCCGAAATAAGTAAAAGAAATACCATTACATGGGATTTCTTGATAATGTTTTATTATTAACAATATAAAAACTTTTATGCTAGCAGTTTAGTTTTGAAGTGTCTTTTGATTCTTTTAACTCCTCAAGGAAGGAGATAAGCTCTGATTTCACAGAATCTGTGGCAATCCAGCTGTCTTCATTCTTATATCTTTTACAAAAGGAAAACCATTTAGCCCATCTACATACTACTGTAATCTGAGCACTCTAAAGGTGACACAGAATTAGCAGTTGGGAAAACCATCTGGAAGTCTTTCTCTGTTTCTTAAGTTTCTTTTAGTTAAGTTTACTTACTCTTAGAGCAAGAAAGCTGCTTTTAATGGCCTCTTGTAACTGATTTAATAGCAAATATTCTTATAAGACTGCTTCCCATGCTCTCTTGGTGCCCATGTAGGCATACTGAGCAACTAGCTGGAAAGGCTACACCCCTCTTGGGTAGTGGAAGATATTTTTTAATTCCTTCCAGTGTCAATTTTGTTAGATAGTAACAATAAGGCCAATTAATGAAAGACACTTTCTATATAGTTGTTTTTTGGAGAGCCAGTAAATGTCAGAGCATGTCCTGTGCATCAGACCTGGCAGTTTGTAGAAACTCTGCTTTGCTGGAGGAGTAAGTATTTGACATAGAAGCCAATAGAAAAATCTGAACCAAAAAAGTGTGCTAGTCATTCTTATGTGTATTTTACTCTTCCATTGCTGGAAGCTGAATCATATTTGCTTTAATTAATCAGCAGATCTGTTGTTGATTGTAGGGCCATGTAATGCTGCTTCTTGATTGTTTTAGTTTTCTTCCCCTCCCTCATCTCCTATTCTTAGTTTATTTAGTAAACTTTATTTGAAAGGATTTCTCCCATTTTCTGTTTTTCTTTCACCTTCTGCTGGGCTGCTGTTCACTGCACATGTTTCAATAGGTTACATGGCTCTGCCTTGAGAGTTCAGGGTGCCCTTTTATAGGTATTTAAAGTCTCACTGTTATTGGGCAGCATGTGCAGTTGAGGTATTGGCTCCGATATTCTATGTGCCGCCTGGTTGGAAAGCTGAGTCTTAGAGTGGTGAGGAGGCTTTGGATAAGATGATTTGGGAGACTGAAAAGAAGTCTTGAGTGCTGCCAGAAAATCAAACACTACACAGACTTAACTAGCGTATATTGACATAATTGGCACGTATTTTGAGTTTTCAGTGCTGTTTCTGGTAGCAGAGTATCCCTGTGCAGAGAAAGAAATGCTAGTGTTACATCTTCCAAAGAATGCATTTCTAGTGCCTGATTAGCTGATAGCAGTGCCTCCTAAAAACACTGGTTGTTAGCAAAGAGGAACAATATTTTTGACAGCTTCTGTCATAATGCTTCTGGAAACACTTGTTTTCTAAGCTGGCTATCCTGCAGATGTCAGAAACCAGATGTACAAACCCACCTGCTTGCTTGGAGATCTGCCACTGAGTTTCCAATTTGCTGCCTTGTTTTATAAGAAGCTTCAAGTCACGAGAGTCTTTCCCTTTCCTTTGCTTCCTTGTGTGTGAGACCAGATCTTGCATTTTGTTGCTGGCTGTGATAGTATCTTACAGGGTAGATAGCTAAATTAATCTACTTTTAGTATGGTACTTGTTCAGGCTTCAGCTTGTGCACTAGTGGGGGGAACTTGAAGTGCTTCCTGGCAGTTTTTGAAAGTTACTAGTCATTGGATGTACTATTTGTTTGTGTTAATCAAATCTCCTGTTGAATTGGTCAGTGTTGGGAGTTTGCTTCATGTTGTCTCCTGTCATTCCTCCCAATTCATGCTCACACTGTATGTCTACAGCTCCTTTCTTGCTATGTTCTGTTCCTGCTACGACACCAATCTCTTACAAAAGTGGCTAAGCTGATAAAATCATAGAATAGTTAGGGTAGGAAAGGACCTTAATATTATTTAATTCCATCCCCTCTGCCATGGGCAGGGATGCTTCACCCTAGACCCTGTCACCCAAGGAATGGATGACAAAGGACGTCTTTGCCATTGTGACTGTCATATTTGATTTTCTATACATTATGAGTTGTTGGGGTTAATGCTTTGATGGTGGCAATCTTTGTTATATTCACATGATCGTGTCCATACAGCCTCTACTTTCCCTTGGAAACAAAAAAGTCTCAGGTGGCCAGTAGTCAGCAAGTGGCGTTTTATGTTTGAAGCATTAAGACAGTGTTTACCAAGGAAAAAAATAAATTCATACTGATTTCTAATTAAATGGTATTTTAAGAAGTCTATCCATAGAAAGCTTTTAAGGGTTTCGTATGCTAGTAGGTCCTTATTATCTTGGACTGATAGACAAGCTTCTGTGAAAGAACTGCTAAAAGTACAGTCTAAGCTACATATTCCAAATACCAGTCAGACAAAAAGGAAAAGTAGTTTGATGTGCATTAGAGCAATTCAAGTCAAAATTGCACCACTTCTTTCAATTATATGGGAACTGTCATCTTAGCAAGAGTCATCGACTCGTAAATATGTTGGTAGCCTTTTTTTCTTGAGTGAGTCACTCTTAGTAGGAATATCATCTACTTATTGCAGTGCTCTGTAATGCTGATAGTCTTTGGGTTTGTTCCTTCCCCTCAACCTCAGTAACTTGGACAAGTCTGCCTCTATGGGTTTCTAACTTGTGTGAGTTCCTTCCAAGGCTTGTAAGAAAGTTGGCTGTCAAGCACTTAACATTAAGTCTAACAGTAAAGCTTTGAAAGGGCAAATGCATAGAGAATCTTGTTTACTTAAAGCTGTTGTGTATGGTGGTGGGGGGGGCAAGTAGAAATTTTTATGGAAAAAGTAGTAGCTATAACATCCTATTTAAGTACTTATAGCAGGAGATACTTTTTCAGAGTGTTGCATTCACTGAAAGGCAGAATAGCTTTCTAAGTATTCTGTGCTGGGGGTTTTTGAGTATGTGTGTTGATGAGTATCTTGGACTGTGAAGTAAATGTGCACAGAAAGTGAGGTTTCTAGGTGCAGCTAGCTGTGTATTATTTGGCCAGGGAATGAGGATTCTCCCATAGTCTCTTAATGTTGCTATAGGATATACTAAGAAAGTCCAAGAAATATAATCATTGATTATGTTTGTTCACTGTGATTCAAGTGCTAACTAAAATGCCTAGAATTGAAGAAAATCTAAACCCATTGATTTCTCCTTCTTTAAGTTTGGTTTTCTTTGTGGTACCTAAGGTCCAGTCAGGTGTTTTTGCTCGGCTGTGTCTGACAGGGCTATTCATGAAATAGTAGACCATTTCCTGCCCAAAGAACTTGCAGTCTGAAACGGATACAAAATAAAAGGGGTAATTGTACCTTGCAAGAACTCTAAAGTATAGTGAGTTATGTTGTGATAACCAAAAGCATGTTATTCTTGGGGAGAGAGGAACCCAACAAAAACCACCACCACTTCTTGCAAAGGCAGAGCATGGCTAAGCTAACAGAGGACAAGGGCACTGAAGGAAAACTGTAAGGATATGAGAGAAAGGCATATAGAGTTTGAAGTAGAAGGGAGAAGGCTTAGCACTGTATGACCAGTGAGAACAAACTGGGGAAAAGCGTGTCCAACCAGAAGAAATACTGTGTGTGGCTGTGCCACAGACGTGATCTCCTGCAGTCATATACTTGTCACTCAGCAGATGAAGGATAACCCCTGGCTGTGATCTGTACGAGACTACCAGAGTGGTGCTGGGGCCTAGACCTGTGAAGCAAGCAGCTGACAGACCTTCATTCCCCTATTTAGACACATCCTTCCATATCTGTGATTCCATTATCATTCCTTTGCTGCTGTTTCTGCCTGCTAGAAGCAGCTCCAGCAGCCTCCTCTTTGCCGGTTTTCCTTCAAGGCTATCTGAATTGAAGCATCTCTCTAGCCTGGGCTGGGTGGTGGCTGCTCATCTATACAGTCCTGAGACTAGAGGAATGGTGTGGGGAGGGGGAGGGAGCAGCCTGCAGAGCTTTGAGTCAGCTCCAAGAGACTGGGACAGGGTGGATCTGCTGCAACCACTTGTGTCGTGTGCACAGTCAGCCGATGCTCCTGTCACCAGAAACTTTCCCATTTTAAGTCTAGTGGGGTGCAAGACTTGACCTTTCCCAGCCCATTGCAGGAGGAGTTCCTGTCAACCTTCTTGTGTTTTGTGTTTTTGCAGGTTGTGGGCTGCTCATTGCAGAAAGATACAGCTGAAAAAGGGTTAGCATCTTTCCGTTCAATTTATGTCCTGAACTTCTAAGATCCTACTATTGCATTTTGGTTTTGTGTTTTCGGGGGGGGTTGGGTACTTTACACCATTACCTACGTTCCATGGGGAGCTATGAATTATAGGGGGCGTAAAAAGAGTAAGCTCTAATAACAGATATTGTAGGGACGAAAGGTACTGCTTGGGTTACTGCTTGGAAGAGCTCTGTAGAATTCAATCAAAAGGGAAGGAGGCTGAATTTAGTCTTTGCAGTATGAACTTCTGTCTGTACTTCTCATTGAAGTATTCACAATAGGAGCTGCAGTAAAAAGCAGAATTTGGGGGTTTTCAAAACAGTTTATTTTAGAAATAGTTATCTGAAAAATCGTGGTGAGAGGTTGGGACTTCTAGCAACATCAATAATTGATCAGTTTGTGTGTGCTTTTCGGTTGCTGGTTGCCAACTTGAGCATTCTTATGCATACATGCAAACCCAACATTAGCTCAGGAATATTAACAGTAAATATAACTTATATAGCACCAAATTCTCCTAGCTGCTCTACAGGTAAAGCTCTAGAGTTGTCCCTGGTAGTCTCTCTTTGCCTGTAAGATGTTTAACATTGTCTCTATTGGAAAATTGACTTGGGAAACCACAGTGGTATAATGACCAGGTATTGTTTTACCAGTGTATCTGTTTGAAAGTCAACTTTTGCTCCAGAGTAAAAATTACTTCAGATATTTGAGCAAATTCACTTTGCTGAAATATCAGTGTTACTATAGAACACTGGAAATTATACCACTGTAGTTTTGTTCTTCAGTTTTCCACAGTAAAGTGTTCAGCTCCAGTACTTGAAGCAGCTGAGTCACGGGTGGAATGAAGTGCACTAGGAAGCAGGCAGCTAATGGTGACAAACACCTAACTAATGTTACAGTTCTGGTTTGGTGGCTTTTGGGTTTTTGACACCACTCATTGTAGGCTTGGGGTTTTTTTGGTAATTCTGGGGGTTTTCTTAGTTAAATGACTAAAAGGGGATTTCTACTTTAAAGAGTAAAGGGAACTGCCTGCTGTTTGTTTGCACCTTTCAACTTTACAAAATGTTGCTATTTTTATTCAGATGGGTCATCGAATCATGTTTACAACTATCAGCCATGTGATCATCCACGTCAGCCTTGTGATAGCTCATGCCCATGTGTAATTGCTCAAAACTTCTGTGAGAAGTTTTGTCAGTGCAGCTCAGAATGTAAGTAAAGCATTTACAAATTGTCTATAAACTTCTCTCACTGTCCCAAACATCTAACTCTGTGCTATAAGTCTGTGTGTACCACGGACTGTGTTTGCACAAAGCCATTGCATGAAGTCAGAAATAGTCTTTGGACTTAAAATTGAGGAAGACTGAAGTAAAATCAGGGAAGGAAAGAATTTGCATGTCCTGTACCATTGGCTATTGGGTGTTTTCTTTTAATATTCTGATGTGCTACAATCATAGAATAGTTGAGGTTGGAAAGGACCTTAAAAGCATCCAGTTCCAACCTCCTGCCATGTGCAGGGATGCCTCACACTAGACCATGTTGCCCAAGGCTCTGTCCAACCTGGCCTTGAACACTGCCAGGGATGGGGCATTTACCACTTCTTTGGGCAACCTGTTCAGTCTGCACTCTCTTAATTTTACAATGTCATTTTTTCATACTTGCCCTTTTTGTTTTCCATATATTATTTTTTAGGCCAAAACAGGTTTCCTGGATGTCGTTGTAAAGCACAATGCAACACTAAGCAGTGTCCATGTTACCTAGCTGTACGTGAATGTGATCCTGACCTCTGTTTAACATGTGGAGCAGCCGACCACTGGGACAGCAAAAATGTTTCTTGCAAGAACTGCAGCATTCAGAGAGGATCCAAAAAGGTACAGAACTGTACAGCTACGTGCCTGTTGCCTTGGTTTTGAGGTGGTTTTATATTTTCATGCCAGACAATGGGATTTCTTCCATTTCTTCATGCTGTCTAACAGGAAAAGAAAAACAAAAAAGGGAGGTAGCTGTCACCGATGTTAATCATGTGCTGCTATTAAGCTCTGTGTACATTTCATCATGTATCAATTAGTCAGTTTTCTGTGTAACACTGCAGTAGAATATCTTCTCTTACACATTCAGGCTTTGCTTGCAGCTTGCACATAGGCTGCTGTTCTAAATCAGCATAAGGAATTTAAGCTCAGCCATAGATACTATTTCTTTCTTCACTTGTTGATTCTAATGCACAAACTTGTATACAGGCTACCAGAGAGATCTCAAAAGCCTGTGACAAACCAAGGTTTATTTCTCCGCTGGAACATCTTCTCACAAACTAGTTCAGTCCAATACTGAATTGACCAGTAGTGGGCTCCTGTCTGCAGACGTTTCTAGTGTGAAGTCTTTAGTCTATGTTTGTATGTAACAACACCCTCATTTAAAGGTTAAACTTTTTCCTGGTTTTCAAGTACTTCATGTGGCTTTTCTTTCACATACAGTTTCTGATCCACAAGCTGCAATGTTAGTGTGCATTTGATAATGAGAAGAATTTGTTTGTTTTCTGTCCTGAAGTCCCAGCATATATTTCATTAAGTGACATACTTCAAACCAAACCAAAACCCACAACAAAAAGCCCAAACAAAAACCAGGCATGTCTAAATTTGTTTCTTTTTTTCCTCTCCCACAGCACTTGCTGTTGGCACCTTCCGATGTGGCAGGCTGGGGGATTTTCATCAAAGATCCTGTGCAGAAGAATGAATTCATCTCTGAATACTGTGGTGAGGTAAGGATGGAGAACACTGGTTATGTATGAGTTTAATTGGTGAGGTTGGGTGCTGGCTGGGGACCAAGACATTGTCTCTTGAGTTGGTACCGCAGATAGAGAGATGTGGTTTACTCCATATACAGTTACTGCTGTTAGAGTTCAACATTGGAATGTCACAAAAAATGGACATAGGTTCTTGTGAGAATGAGAGGCTGGAATGTCATTTTTATCTTAGATGTAACTTCAATTCAGGCGTGCCTGGAATTCTGTGCAAAATCATTTAGTATAGTACTAAAATTCAGTAGGCACTTTCACTAAATTACATGCTATAGTAATAAACTACCAAATTGGGTTTGCAGTCTTGATTTTGAGATGAGAAGCAATTCTTGCTTTCCTTCTGCTCTGAAAGAGCTTATTCATGTTAAGAGCAAGCCATGGTTGCTTGGTGAGTGCAGAATGCTTGCTGAAAACAGTACTTCATGTTTAAGAATATTTGCAGTTGCAGAGAGTAAAAACCTTTCGGAATGTCTGGGGTTTTCAACCTTAAGCTGCTACGGCTACAAAAGAGAAGAGGTGGCCTCTTTAACAAGTACTATTTCTTTCAGATTATTTCTCAGGATGAGGCAGACAGAAGAGGGAAAGTATATGACAAGTACATGTGCAGCTTTCTGTTTAACTTGAATAATGGTATGTATGTGCTAGTCATATCCCTTACAGTATAGAGCAAATATGCAGTCACCATTTTGGTCAGCCCTGTTCTTTTGCAGGCAGCAGGTAACACTGAGAAGTTCTTTTTCTTCTTCTACACATCTTTTCCTAGCAGTGTGTGGATTCCTAATACTTAGAGTTAGTGCTTTTCTTTTTCTCCTACATGTTAGGAAACATCACTACATCACTAAGTAGTAGTGATGGAGCCTGTTACACAAGATGAGTAGAACTAGAATGTAATGAAGTAAAATTATGTGCAAGCATTAAGTAGGCTAAAGAATTTAAAAGGCTTGCTGGGTATTGTCTGAAATAATTTTACTGTGACTTAAATTAGCAGTAAATTATGTTGGTAATTTTGTGTTGGGAGGGAAAAAGCCACACACAGATCCATGGCATGTGGCTACTGCCACTTGAAGAGACAAATACCAACTGCACTGTGTCAAGTGTGAAATCACAGGAGATACTTGAAATGAGACAAAAAGGCTGCTTATTGTCAATGTTGACTTAGCATATTTGTGGAGCTTGTCCTTGTGGAATAAAGTAGAGAAGTGTCAAATGAGAAACTCGGGTAGTGCCACCGTGCCAGGAGATAAATGGGAAGCACAGTGTTGGGCAGCAGGCATATTGTGTGTCTTGCAGAACAATAAAGCTGTTGTTGGATGATGTGCCAGCTCTCCCATGTGGATAGCTGAGCAGTTATCTTTTCCAGCTGCTAAGATCATAGCACTCTAGATATTAAGCACAAATTTGCAGATGTCATATGTTTCCTCCCTCCCTAGATTTTGTGGTTGATGCAACACGCAAGGGCAACAAAATTAGATTTGCAAACCACTCAGTAAATCCCAACTGCTATGCAAAAGGTAAGTTAAGTTTTACATTTGCTTGCTTTTAGCAATGTGTGAAATGTTGTGGGCTACTTAGAATAGGCATTTTTAGCAGTATTGTGTTAATAAGTTTCATAATGTAAGTTTCAATTTCTTTTACACAGTTATGATGGTTAACGGTGATCACAGAATAGGAATATTTGCTAAAAGAGCCATTCAGACTGGTGAAGAACTGTTCTTTGACTACAGGTTGGTAGATGCATTTTGTAACTTCTTCCTCTCACAGACTGGATTAGCTTTCAGTGTTTCTGCCCTGCTCATCATTGCTTACTGTGCCTGCCTCCTTACAGCATCAGGTCTCAACAGCAGAGAACCAGGCCCCCCCAGATATTAATAAGACAGACAGATAGATAGTATAGTGACTTGAGAAAGCAGCTGGTTAAGAGCTTTGCAAACTTAGAACAGCAGCTTGAATAGAGAAAAGTTTAGTGACAAACAGACCTGCACATGAAACTTCATCAGGTTGGGCTTCCTCGGTACCCAGTTGGCGTTCAGAAATGGAGAGAAGTATTCTTGTGTTATTACACAGAAGTGCTAGCTAGGGCTGTGCTCATAATTTCCTTTGAAATCATCTCCCTTGAAGAAAACTAAGCTGTCCGGTGATAACTCTGTAGGTCAACCTTGAGAAATGCAGTTGCTTTCCACTAGCCAAAAAGAACTTTAGTGTTGTGAGATTCAAGTGTGGAATTGCAGTTTGATGTTGCCTCTTGGTCAAACTACTCTAGAAGCAGTTTCTGGAGTAGTGTCAGCATTGTTCTGCATCTGCAAATGTACACAAGGAATAAAGGCCCCAGCTTGTGAGAAACTATGGGAAAGCTCAGTGTGTTCCAGGCTCTGGTGCTGCTCTGTTGTGTCAGAACAAAGTGAAAATGTTCTGTTACTGGGCTTTATTTTTGGTTTTATTTTCTTTAATTTCAGATATAGCCAAGCTGATGCCCTTAAGTATGTGGGCATTGAAAGAGAAATGGAAATCCCTTGACACCAGCTACCTCTTCTTTTAAACAAACAGCTGCCTTATCTTCAGGAATTTCTAGTACTGTGGGCAATTTTAGAAGAAACAAAAATGCAATTTGCAATTCTGTATTTGCAGAGTACTGTAACAGTAATTTATAGTAACAAATTTAAAACCAACCCTGACTTTTTATTGCCTTCTCACCAGCTGCAAAGTGTTTTGTACCTATGACCTTTTGCAATAATGTGGTGTGGTACATTTTTCAACCTTGAATAAAGGATACTTGAACTTCTTCATTTTTACTGGAACTGTGTTGGAATTTTGTGTCAGCCAGTTGAGGAAGCAATGGGAATGCTGCCCTTCAGTTTCCGAGCAAAGGCACGTACATGCTTGTCTATCCTGTTACTGTTCCTTCAGCTCACAGTTAAGATTAATATGAAGACACAAGCAGTGCAGGAGACATAAGTCAGGCCGATCATCAAACTTCAGCCTCTTGCACTGTATCAGTGTTTAAGTTTTCCTCTGCTTTTGCTAAGCCTTATCAGTCCTTACCCCTAACAAGAGGTCTGGCCAGTAGCAGTAGATACATTTAATGGGAGGGGGAAAAGGGTGTTGCCTAAAAGTCACCCTCCAACAGAACAGCTATGATTTCTAGGACAAACTCTTCACGCAAGACAAAGTTGTGGTCCAAGGTTTGCTTTTGTCTATCCATTAGCTTAATGGCAACACATCTGCCCAAGCAGCTGCCATGAATCTCTTCCCTGTTCACTCAGTGTGGAAGTAACATGGATGTGGACACATCTGCATCACTGGGCAAGGGAACCAGCAGTGGTATTCCAGTAAACTGGAACCTTCAACTGCGGCTTCTCTGAAGCAACAACCCTGAACAATGAATGCAACAGTAATTATACATTTCTTTCCTGCATCTCTTGTTCATCTGCAGGCAACCATGGTCTTGCTTATTGGTACATTTCCCATCTCTTCTCTTACTACAGATTTTTTACACTAACAAACAGGCTTTTATCCCAAGTGGTTTAGCTTGCAGTGAGGTGTCAGCAACATCCAAAAGTCAAACCTCACTTTCTCCCTGCTTGGGTAAAGCTTGGCTGTTGTTGGATGCTGTCAGTCCAGCTTCAGACATGTCCAAAGAAACACTGCTTTAGCCAGTGTGAAGGGTTAAGGCCAGGCTTTGAGCCTTGAACCATTCAGCCTATTCCTTCACCCCACCACTCTTTTATATCCTGCTACAACAATCTATTTCCAAACTTTCTGCAAGAAAGGGCTACACAAACCACACAAAACAGCATCTTAAAGCCAGCACTGAAAGCAGCATAAAAAGCAGCACAAGCTCCGTTCTTCTAAATTCCAAAAAGCAATTTGAAAACAGAACATCAAGATGCTTCTATTACCCAAGCTGCAGTCCTCCAGGCAATTAAAGTTCTTTCAGAATAGGGACAGCAAGCATGCAAAAGCTCAAGTGGGGCTAAGACTCATGTCCCATTTTCCAAATCCATTCAAATCACATCTAATATTGCTCCATTATTTTATTTTTTAACCCAGTGTTGTAGCTCACAGCTCAGTTGTAACCATGAAAACTTAAATTTCCCTCAGAGAAAAACCAGAATCAACGCAAACCCCGGCTCCCTTCATGCCAGGACACACACACCGAATAAAACACACATTCTAAGGGGGAAGAAAAAGGGTTGGGCTCCAGAAATTTGGTTCTTTTCACCATCAAAATAGAAAATAAGTAAGTTACCAACAACCAGTGAGACCTGTGAGGATGGCAGCGGTGAAAGCTAAATTTCACATGGACAAATGAACACAAAATATTGTGAGAAGAATGGAATGAAGCCTGGTCAATCAATACAGGTGCACCAATACTCCAGCCTATTTTAATTCCCATCACAGGTTGCATTTCATCGCAATTAATGTTCAGGAACACCCAATTTTCTGTTCTAGTCAAAAAAAGGGGCAGCCAAAACCTTACTCATTCAGGGCAGCACTGAGGCAGAGGTGATGCCCTTCACACCACATTAAACACCACCAGAAACACCTCCAGTATCAGATCACCAAGTATTGCCATGTATATTCTAAGTGTTTTCTATTCTGCACACCCTGTGAAATCATCACAACTTTCTCTTCTGTTCAAAGCCATTTCCTCTCAAAAAAGAAATAACACATGTGATGGTAGATGACAATTCATTTCTTAAAAGAACAAAACATGCTTATATCACCAGAAGCCCTGGCAAAGGAGGAGAAGCCAAACAAATTTCTACAGCTTTCATAACCATTATACCTTTTATTTACATTTAGAAAGATAAATCATGAAACTTAAAACCAAATGCAACTTGTACAGAAATCTTTTAATTTTTTGTTTTTTATTTATCACACATTAAAAAATGAAACACACTATACAAATGGGTTTTCATAGCAGATTACACATGGGTCCATTCAGACTCGCTCTCAAAGTGCTGCCAACATTTCTAAGTGCTGCCTGGGATGGCAGCTGTTTATCCTATAGCCAATGTATTGATTTAAATGCAGTAGCATGCAACCCTTACAGGAGAAGGGTTTGATTCCTTTCTGTTCTTAAATTAGGTTAAATGGCATTGGTGTCCATATTTACATACTTGAAATGTATCAATCCTGAGCAGTTCTGATGTAAATCTGAGACTGGCTGATGGGAGTCCTGGTCTCAGGTATTAAAAAGGGAGGTCCAAATGGCAGCAGGGTGGCTGCTATGAAGTTCCGTTGCTTTCGTTCTTTCCATCACATACCTACTTGCTGAGTGTCACACAGTCAAGTAATTGCTAATAAAAATATTAAGCCAAGTAACTGTAGGTGTCCTTCTCACCATCTACACGTTCCAAGTACTCCTTCTCGATCAGGATGTCGATGCATTTCTGTGGGAGAGACACACACAGGTAGTGGGACACTGGCACAAAAATCCCTCTCTGCCAAGTGATGCAGGGGAGCAGGCAAAGGGCACAAACCAGGGCAATTCTGACCACATCAAGCAGAGGACTTCACTACTACCACTAATGCTTGATGCCATTCCAGGGCAGTGATTGGGAGACAAACTGATCATCAGTATGCTGAACAACTTGATGGCAAGCCAGCATATAAGGAGTTAAACCAAGGTGCAGAGTGCTTACTGTAAGATTACTGTAGACATCAGCTGCAGGACATGACTGGGTACCTCTCCTCCACACCCGTGGTGCTCCCCACTGCCTGTTTTCTGCCCCCACTATCTCCTTGGTTGGTGGGGTAAAATCCAGTGGGGGGAGCATTAAACAAACTGGTGAGGAAACCATTAAATACAATTCCCCCTTCCTTTCCCCAGCACTTTTGTTCTAGGAGAGATCAAGAAACTTTCTATTGAGCTGGCCCACCAGCAGTGGTACTCCCACAACTGGGAGAGCCAGGAACAAGAGGTAAGCCTGGAGCTGGAGGCTGCTGTATGCTAGCACTGATGTGGAAAGATGCAATCAAGCTGCTATTTTACCATTGCAAATGATACAAAACATGCATATTAAACATGCATTTTATAAACACTCTATTTCTGGTTAAAATATTTCCTATTTATTTGCAACTCCAAAAATCTGTCCTTACCCACCCCGTTTCCTTAGCTTTCCTTTTTAATTCAGCAGCACATATTTAGTCTATCTATATCCTCTTCGCCTCCTGGAACTCAGATTCAGAGCTGTGGCTCTCACATACCTTAATTACTGGAACTCGTGGCTTGAACCTTGAGGACAGCTGTGTTAGCACTTCTCCAAGCAGTTGCTGGTGTTTTAGAACCTTCCTCATTTTCATGATTCTCACAATAGCAGCCTGCACAGCAAAGATGGAAAGATGTTTAGGAGAAAACTACTTGTCCTGCTGGATAAAGCCATTCCACTTCCCCAGCAGATCATTTCTGCTAGTGCAAGAAGCATCATCACAGCCAGCCTGAGCAGCAGATGGGGAGAAGCATGCCTACAGCTGTCAGCTGTTCACACAGACTTTAAGAACTCAGATTCTACACAGCATACACTCAGCAGAAGTGGTTTTGACATACAAATTTTACAAACTATGCTTATGGTCAGTCATAACAATAGTACCAACTGGTACCAAGGGCTACATGAAACCACTTATAACAGAAAGCCTTCTTTATATATTTAACCTTACTGTGACACTCTCTTAGGAGCACATTTGTATTTCCTTCCCCCACCCCTTTGTTTCTCAAGTGGAGTCCAGATGAACTGATAGAAAACACACTCTTAAGTCCATACTGTCTGGTTTTCACCCTGGGCAGAGGTCAGGGGAGTGTGTGCATCCATAGAACCCAAACACTCATCAACATGACGTACAAACAAACGTGAAGACAGCGTCCTACCACGCCTTCCACATTTTGGAAATGCCAGGTTGGACATAGGGGCTTGGAGCAACCTGCTCTAGTGGAAAGTGTCCCGGCCCGTGGCAGGGGTTGGAACTGGATGAGCTTAAGGTCTCTTCCAACCCAAACCAGTCCATGATACTAAGGTTTTCTATTACAGACTCCAAGAACGCAGTAAATACATGTTTAGCTCTGACACAGTGCACTGTAATGGCTCATCCTCTCTTAATAAAAATCAAGAAAACCCCGCAATGAATTTCATTAAAGGATTACAACACTGTAATTCTTAAGTTCACAGCATCCTGCAACACAAGTCACCTGAATCAGTAGTTTCCTATCTTCCTCTATGTTTTTGTGTGTAGTTTCTTGCTCCTGCTTCTGTTCAGTTTTCATTGGCACATTGATGTTTACCCTTAATTTTTTGCTGTAAAGGAAAACATCAGAAGTTAATAAAACAATGAGCCTGTTTAAAAACCAAACAAACCCTGAACACAACCCAACTCCAGAAAAAGTCAAGGCATGGGGAATGCTGCAGTGGAGAGGGGACCTGTTACTTATTTAGTGTAGTCTTGTGTTGGGAACCACTGAGCCACACAGTACAGTGACACTGAGCTGCTTCCATCACTGCCTTAACGTAACTGACCAGGAACTCCTTTAATTATTGGTCAAGAAGGGAAGAAAACAGCTAAAGAGTGAGATACAAGGAAAGGGTTTAAAATGTTCCTTTTGCTCAGACCTTATCTTCAGGAAGTGCTGACCTCCTCACTGAATTTATGTGTGTTTATGTCTATGCTCTGGTAAGCATGGTAAGAAGTCTCTACACTACTGTGAACAGCTTAAAACATACACACATTGAAAGCAACCCTGGTTAAAGTAGGTAACAAAACTACTGTAACCTTATAAAACATAATGTAGTTTGCTGAGTGC